TAATTCACACTACCGTTCGCGCTCTTACGAAACTTGTTACTTCATTTTTTAAAAAATGAAATGATCTTCCTTTTACTCCCGATCAACAATCAAATATCTTTTCTTGAATTATGAATAACATGAATGGATTGAAATATCTAATAAAATTATCTCAAAATAAACCTTCATTTCGGTGCAATACTGAAATTAGCTTGAATTCTTCATAACCTCTGAATAGTGGTTGACCCAACGGGTCACGATGGTTAGTTTTTCTAAAATTCAGCGTTGGCGCACTCTATTCCCAAAGTCAACTTTGATGTTGCTTCAACGTAGAAATTTTGAAATTAAAAAAAGGAATATAACAGCTTCTATGATGGAAGTTACAATTGTGATAATTGACTTAAAGTTTATGTAAATACCAATACAGCAACTTTTTCTTTTAAAATAAAATCACTGTAAAAACGCAACGTTCAAATATAAACAAATATGTTTTATCTAGCAACGTTCCGAGCAATCACTGTTCCTCAGGCTTGAAGTTGAAATGAAAATGAAATTAAGCCTGACGAAAGTAATTGATCGTAACGTCGCTAGATCAAATAAATTGTTGTCTATTTCATTATTGTGATTTGATAGTGGTTTTATCTCCCAACCTTATGCTAATTCCAATTCTTCTGCAAACGTTTTTCTTTTACCTGACGCCCATCTTGGAAATGTCAACAAAGCGTTCCAGATTTACAGTCGGCGTTGAACCAGCTATGACGTCATGTTAGCTCCAACGCTGATTAGTACTACGTACCACTCTTTGCAACACTCGTAGAAACGAGTATTTCATTCCGATAAAATCCCACTATTTCAAGCAACAATTAGCGCCCTCTTCACTGTTTGCCTCAAGAATCCGAGTTAGTGCTAAACATCTTTTAATTTTTAGGTATTGTTTATAATTTTCAGTTACTTCTGGTTTAAAGTAAACTACTTATACAGGTCATAAATAAAGATTAACCTAGTAAAATTATGATTTAATAAACCCGCCTAATACCAGCATGCAAATACATAAAACCCAATAATGATTAAAAAAATTAACTAAAAGTAACATTGGCCACTCAACTATTTAGGTTAGGTATTATTTGTAAATACCGCTGTTAAGTTGAATGATATATTCTACACTGTCAGCTGACATATTGCCGCGTTATTTGTCGCTCTACCATTGGATTTATTTATTGTTCTACAAATATAAGGAATGATTAATTTAGTAGGTTTATACATTTATTTTCTATAATTATAGTTACGATTCTGGCTGAATGATATCATTAACACAACAGAATAGAAAAACTGCCCTTTAGTTCAAACAAATTAAAATGTTTCTCTTCTCCCCTTGTCGGTAATTCTTAAGTTTGTCAGGCGCTTAGGGCCTCTTTTGGCTTGCCCTCCCCCACAATTGCAGGGAGCATACTTACGCCACTGGTTTATGCAGATCTGTAATTGACGAAAACAAAGAAACACGTCGCCAGAATACAATTAAACTTTAAAGTATTTGTTTTAGTTATATACTTGTATAAACACGTTCGAAAGAGCACTTAAACCAGTCACTTCTCCGAAGAATGCCAGATATGAATAAATCACTGTTTTTTAGGGAGTTGTAACTACGTTGAATAATAGTTTCCAAATCACTCAAAGCGTGGTATTATTTTTAGGGAGTTGTAACTACGTTGAATAACAGCTTCCAATCACTCAAAGTGTGGTATTATTTTTAGGGAGTTGTAACTACGTTGAATAACAGCTTCCAACTCACTCAAAGTGTGGTATTATTTTTAGGGAGTTGTAACTACGCTGAATAACAGCTTCCAAATCACTTAAAGTGTGGTATTATTTTTAGGGAGTTGTAACTACGCTGAATAACAGTTTCCAAATCAAAGTGTGGTATTATTTTTAGGGTGTTGTAACTACGTTGAATAACAGTTTCCAAATCACTCAGTGTGGTATAATTTTCTTATTTATATAATAGTTATTCACGTGTTATCTTGTTAAAAATTGATACTTTTCATGCTACGTATTATGTTTTTCATCATTTTCTGCAAGTATATTCATTCACCGTCATCTGGAAGTTATTAACTGATTGAAATTAGTGTGCTATTCACGGGCGCCGGATGACTACAAGAAATGGGGGAGAGGCAACCATGTGTGGCTCTGACCATTTGTTATTAGATTCAATATCGCATGTACACTGCCCCGAAATATCAGCTGAATCAAGTCGACAATACAGTATTGTAACGTATATATTTATAGTATTGAAATTTATTTTTTGTGTCTGCAAGCACAAATACCCCGTTTTACTGATATAGGTTTCCCCTGCTTTGCGAATGTTAACTTTCCATTTTTCTCTCTAAGTTACTAGGTGCTGCAGATTTCTTAGCCACACTGTGCTAGAAACGTAAAGTATTCGTTTGTTTACATAGTAACAATCAGCTTCTTAGAATAAGTAGGGTTACTAGAAGTCTCAGATTCTCTGTAACTTAGTTTGATACGTACGATTTGTCACTATACAAGACTCCTTTAAATTTAACTTGGAGAATCACTTGACAAGGACAGATCAAACAGTATAGTATTTCCAACCGTTCTGCTATGTTTTATTCACTTAACCTTTCATTGAGCAGCCGCAGGAATTGAAATTTGGAGACTTGGAAAATAACAACACAAGAAGCAACATCTTTCTTTGAGTAGGTTCAAGACAAGTTATTTGTTTATTTTGTTTTTTAACTAGATAAGCTTTTAACAAATTTTATTTGTGATTTTAAAACGCAATGCTATAAACATCAGATTATACAACGAGCGGTAAAAAAGTGTGGTAATGCAATTTAAACTGTTGTTTTTTTACTGTAGAAATCTGATATCAAAGCCTATGAATAAAGCCAAAACAGAGAAATATTGTGAATTCTCTGTACTATAGGTTTGTGCAGGAAATTAAAGATTGGCGCTAAGCTGTGTCCGATGTAGCGTGACGCCCACCCAGCAGCAACGAGCGAATTTCTAACAAAATCGATTGGTTTATTTTGATTCATCGCCTGAGGGACGTTTGGCTAGAGCCATAAGTATCATGGTCAGTTCCTTCTTGTTAATTTTTCCGTCTTTGTTAAAGTCACACCCTCGCAAGATGGCGTCCTGGAACTCTAGAAGATCTTGGGCGTCGTAGTCCTAAAAGTGTGATTAGACAAAGCCAGTTAGATGTATCCGTATCAGGTTATGTTCAGTAATCTTTTTCTCTATCACTTACTTGCACCCCGCGACCTCTGCTTCTTAGATTTATTGATGAGTATACATTTCTACGACACTTATAAATATTAAAAAAGTATTTGTTTCGTTAAAATTCCGCACTTATATATATATAAATCTGGTAAGTTGACAATAAAAATTTTATTATCCATCGATTGAATAAGAATATTAACTGCACGTCGTTACTTAACTGAGCTACTGGACAACCAATTGTTTCTCTTTTCTTAACGACTTTTAAAAGCAGCTGAATCTTTGTAAAGCTTTCTAACATTATATTATTCGTGTTAGCATCATATATTATTTTCCTTAATTAACCTAATCATCATCCAGAAGAACCATCAATATTCACCCGTTTTATAAGATCCAACAAATCCTTCAAGAATCCCTTTAGTTCCTCGTTCTCAATTTTACCGTTATTATCCTGTTAGAAGAATAGAAAACTAGTTATTATAATATCAAAATGTCATTGAAAAACGTGTATTAGCAAATGAATATATTTTATACATGATTTCACTGAATCGAGTTTTCAAACTCTGATTCTAAAGCACCCTTAGAAAATACTTTTATAGATAAAATGCTTTTTATCTAGTAAACGAAACTACCTTTATAACTGATAATTGCGAGATAAATATTTATGGGAACTTTAATGTGAATTGGAAATTTTTGAACAAAAGACAGAAATTCTAGATGGCATCCATGTTCTCGAAAACAAGTATATAATACGAAACTATCCTAATTAGATATTAGTCTCCAGAATTAACAACATGAATATATTTCTACTGACAACTATTTGTACATATATCAATATTCAAATTAATTATTACTGTCAAATCCGGATTATAAATCACAACTTGTATATGTATGAAGCTTTTTTTTTTTTTTGTCACTAAATTAGACAGGTTTCGGTGATTACCTCCCCCTAGTATCCCTGGACAAGGGCAAATGGGAAAAACAAGACTTCTTACATTAAAGCGGTGAACTGTGTGTTACATATCTGGTGTTTTTAATGAACCTATAAAACAAGACTACTTAAATTAAAGCGGTGAACTGTGTGTTACATATCGGGTGTTTTTAATGAACCTATAAAACAAGACTTCTTAAATTAAAGCGGTGAACTGTGCGTTACATATCAGGTGTTTTTAATGAACCTGTATTTACATAGAGTTTGAAAGATATGTCGTATTGATGCTACAAATTGATTCTTCTCGGTTATTCAGCAAACAAGCTGTTTATAATACTAATATCGAACTGGTGTATTTAAGTGTTTTACACTCACAAAAAAGAAACCTATCATTCTACAGACATTTAAAGAACTTGTAGCATTTCGCCACATATTAATTCTTCGTATTGTAGCCCCCCAGTGTCACAGCGGTATGTCTGCGGACTTCCAACGCTAGAATCCGGGTTTCGATACCCGTGGTGGGCAGAGCACAGATAGCCCATTGTGTAGCTTTGTGCTTAATTACAAACAACAGCATCTTGGTATTGTTAGCCGACACTGGGCAGCTTGTACATAATTGAATAAATAAGAGTTGTTTAAACATTTGTCCCACCAAATGCAAAGCACCACTTTCTGCAAATTGAGTTCAGGTTTTTGGGTCGGCAATTGTTTTTGTCTAGGACTGAGCCATTGTTTTTTGGCGTTTTATATTCGCATAGAGAATCCATTTTTCATCACCGGTGACAATTCTGTCCAAAAATGGTTCACGCACATTACGCGCCAGAAGGGACGAAACAACGTTCACACGTTGGAAA